TTAAAAAGTGCCAGGGCTATGCATACAGTACATAGAGTTGTCTTGTTTATACTAAGTGAATTCCTTTTCTCCAAACATCTCTAATATTTACTGCAGTGATGAAGCATATACCTTTCACTGAAATTCTTCATTTATACAAAGTTAAAGCATTTCTACATTTGCATAAGGAAACTGAAGCGCAAACAGAAAATGACTTGTCCAAAGTCACTGAGGAAACAAATGGCAGGAGGAGATAGAAGACAGAAATCTCCTAGGTACTAGCACATTAGACACCACTGCTTCTCAAGGACAGAGATGGCAGAGTTACTGAATGCCTTTTTTGTCTCTGTCTACTCTGCAGGAGGCAGTCCTGAAGAGCCCTGTACCTCTGAGACCTCAGATGAAGTCAGGTCAACGGAGTAGTCTGCCTTAGTCGATGAGGAATGGGTTACAGACCAGTTGAGCAATCTGGACATCCATAAATCCATGGGTCCAGATGGGATGTACCCACGGGTGCTGAGGGAACTGGCGGAGGTCATTGCTAGACCACTCTCCATCATCTTTACCAAGTCTTGGGAAACGGGAGAGGTGCCTGAGGACTGGAGGAAAGCAAATGTCACTCCTGTCTTCAAAAAGGGCAAGAAGGAGGACCCAGGTAACTATAGACCAGTCAGCCTCACCTCCATTCCTGGGAAAGTGATGGAACACCTTATCCTTGGTGCCATCATAAGGCATATCAAGGATAAGAGGGTTATGAGGAGCAGTCAACATGGCTTCACCAAGGGGAAGTCATGCTTGACCAATCTCGTAGCCTTTTATGAGGAAATAACACGGCGGATGGATGATGGCAGAGAGGTGGATGTGGTCTACCTTGACTTCAGCAAAGCGTTTGACACAGTCTCCCACAGCATCCTCGCAGCTAAATTGAGGAAGTGTGGTCTGGATGATCAGGTAGTGAGGTGGACTGTGAACTGGCTGAAGGAGAGAAGCCAGAAAGTTGCAGTCTATGGGGCGGAGTCTAGTTGGAGGCCTGTATCTAGTGGAGTGCCTCAAGGGTCGGTACTGGGACCAGTATTATTTAATATATTCATCAATGATTCAGATGAAGGAATTGAGTGTACTATCAGCAAGTTTGCTGATGACACTAAGCTGGGAGGGGTGGCTGACACGCCAGAAGGCTGTGCTGCCATCCAGCGAGACCTGGACAGGCTGGAGAGTTGGGCAGGGAATAACTTGATGAAATATAACAAGGGAAAGTGTAGAGTCCTGCATCTGGGCAGGAACAACCCCAGGTTCCAGTATAGGTTGGGGAACGACCTGTTAGAGAGCAGTGTAGGGGAGAGGGACCTGGGGGTCCTGGTGGACGACAGGGTGACCATGAGCCGACACTGTGCCCTTGTGGCCAAGAAGGCCAATGGCATCCTGGGGTGTATTAGAAGGGGGGTGGTTAGTAGGTCGAGAGAGGTTCTCCTTCCCCTCTACTCAGCCCTGGTGAGACCTCATCTGGAATATTGTGTCCAGTTCTGGGCCCCTCAGTTTAAGAAGGACAGGGACCTGCTGGAGAGAGTCCAGCGCAGGGCAACTAAGATGATTAAGGGAGTGGAGCATCTCCCTTATGAGGAAAGACTGAGGGAGCTGGGTCTCTATAGTTTGGAGAAGAAGAGACTGAGGGGTGACCTTATTAGTGTATATAAATATATAAAGGGGGAGTGTCACGAGGATGGAGCCAGGCTCTTCTCAGTGGCAAACAATGACAGGACAAGGGGAAATGGGTACAAACTGGAACACAAGAGGTTCCACATAAACTTGAGAAGAAACTCCTTCTCAGTGAGGGTGACAGAACACTGGAACAGGCTGCACAGGGGGGCTGTGGAATCTCCTTCTCTGGAGACATCCAAAACCCGCCTGGACACATTCCTGTGTAACCCTATCTAGGTGTTCCTGCTCTGGCAGGGGGATTGGACTAGATGATCTTTTGAGGCCCCTTCCAATCTCTAGCATACTGTGATACTGTGATTCCCTCAAAGATAATCTATTATTTAACCTAGGCTCCTCAAGCATGGAACGACTGTTTATGCAACAGTAAAGGGCAATATTCCACAAAAAGAAAAAAACACACACAAAAAAAAAAAAACAAAAAAAACAACCACACATCAAAGTATTTGCTTTCCTGTTTTTATTATATGCACTTACTTCCATATGAACTCCAGTGACAGCATAATACACCTAAGTAAAAATTATACATATTCATCCTAACATCAGTTGAGGCTACTGAAATTCTGTGAAAAGCATTCACATAGTCCACAAAGAATGAAGGCAAGTTTGCAAACAAAAGAATGCATTTCTCTTTGGCATAAGAAAAAACAACAAAACAAAATCAAAGCAAAATAAAAATCAACCACAAAACAAACACAAAAATCAACCTTACCAAAGAGTTTCCTACTTTTCCCACCTCCCTCCCTGACCACTCACACCTCAGAATAAAACCTTCTGAATAAAGATGTAGTTATGGCACTAAGTACACCTGACAGAAAAGGAAAAACGCATTCTTCAGAAGAATAAAAATAACTTCACGACATCCACAACAACATTTACATCTTTTTGTTATACATTATTTTAACACACTACCACAAACACTTGCTACTGGAGTCCATTGACAAGGTTTCATGCTATTCACAGGCATTAAATCAGGCTATTCATTCTTTGCAAACAAGAAAAGTTTCCTCAGAAACATCTAGAGCAGAGTCTTTCAGTGATTCACTCAGTCAGACTCATACTGCAGCAATAATTAGTTATGTGGGCATTTGAACTGGAGACAAGGCAGTGATACTCAAAGCCATAAGGCATTTGTTTGGGAAGCTCTCAGTTATTCCTGGATATTCTATGGGCATGGGCTTTTTAATGTGCAAGTAGTGGATCCTGTGACTTGTAAGTAAGATTTCTGTCACTTTTGTTCATTAAAAACTCACAGTTTAGTAATACGACCCTCATCATTAAATTAAAGCTATATAGTTCTGGTATTCTATGGGAAGGGAGTTCCTTATGAATTTGGGTCACTTCACGATAGATGAGAACTTTAAACGTACAACACAGAAATAAAGTATTAGCTAGTGGTATATCTCTTGGCCTCCTCTCCTTGGACACTCATATATGTCAATTTAGCTGTATATTATGATACTTTATTACAGTCACTGTCTGGAATATTTCAATACTGTCACACAGTTAATCAAGATTCATAAAATAAACACGTTCAGTGAATCTACCAGGAGGCAGGAAGGACAGCCTTGCAAATTGGCTCCAGTAATCACGAGTCTGATCTGATTCTCACTTCTGACATATTTCACATGACATGAAAGAAGTAACTTCAGTTTCCAAGGCCTGCTCTACTTCACCTCTACAGAAGACTCATTGCTAGTGCTCTAATTTTAAAGTTTAGTAGTACAGTGTATTTTTTTAATCAAATTAAAATACATGTCTGATAACATCAGATTTGCTCCATTTGCTAGTAAAAAGTATTTATTCCTCTCAAAGACTTACGAAATTCCTTCTGCTGTTGTAGCCTCACGGACTTTATTTCACCATAGTACCGTAACTGCTGCTATGCACATCACATTTGAGCAAGTCATCAGTCTTTAAACTGTGTCCAATGATACCTGTGTAATTCATTACTAGTGAGCTTATGAAAATAAACCTCACAGCATTGCTCGCCTACAGAATTTTTAATAAAAGTTAAAAATGCACATAGAAGTGCTACATCAGAACCCCATAACTAAATGCAAGGCTGACAGTTAAAAACAGTAACAGCAGAAACCTCTTGTGAACACCTTATATCTGGTGAGTCCATCATTTACCATTACATACAGTAAAAGCACTCCTGAAAAGGTGTTAAATAACCTGTAACTAAAAATTCCCAAATTCAAAAGATTTAAATTAATAAAGAGTTGTCTTTATGATTTATTGTTATCTTTGTTTATTATTAATAGGAATAGAGTATTTTTGTATTGGGGATACAGCATTCAACTCCAAATCATCTCACAAGATTTATCCTAGCCACCTAAAATCAGTATTATTTCTATAAGAAAATGCATTACTAAGTTTTACTAATTTTAAATACTTTTGCAATATCTGCAAAGTTAGTGGCCCACACCAAGGTGAAAATATTTAACATGTTCTACATCCCTGTAGCTCAGAAAGTAGATTAACTATGTGGTCCTAAAGTGGTTTCAGAAGTTTTCAGAGCATTATCATTGTCTTCATTTAGCAATGCTAATATTAATTTCTGTCATTTCTGATAACATTAACCAGACAGTTCAGTCAGTTACCATCTTAGTGAAAGGTAAATTGTTTAATTCAAGATTTGACTTGATTTTTGAGAGCTGTTGTACTATTTATACATGCAAAAAGACCTTTACAACCTGGTATACTTTTGCGCCTTTTTAGATTGGGTTGGCACAAAATACTTTGTATTAAAAAAAAAAGTAATCCACAAATCAAAGCCTGAAAATTTTTATTTGTGATTAGTGTCATACAATATATTTACCTTCCTGTAAACATGAGAATTGATTCAATGTGTATCAAAGGACTCTTAACATTTTCTGTATTGCTGTTGCAGGGAAAACTTGTTTGACCCATCCTTCACCCTTTACAGGATCCTTCACCCCTTTTGAAAGACATCTTTGTCAAAACCAACCCCTTCACAATAGGAAGTCAGTATACTGAAAGTATCGCTTAGGGAAAAAGAAAGAAAAGCAGTTATGGTTTAAAAGTACACTGAGTGCACAAGGTTACTCCATTAACAGGAGAACAGATCTGTCTAGTACCATAAAATAGGTACCCTTTGTTGCTTTAACTCCCCGTAATACCATCCTTAAAACCCCAGCTCCCATTGGTATTCCTCATGACACTTCCACCCATGATACTATGTATTAGCCTGTGGTTAAATTCACCATCCAGCAGACCCAGCTGCAAGTGCTGAGCAAGGACCACTGACAAACAAAACATGGAACAAATTGTTTGCAAACCTTTATCCTGGTTTCAAACTTGGTTAAAATTGACTAACAAGCTCAATTCTTAGTAGTCAAAGACATGAGGACGTGGAATCACACAGATTTCATTTCCCGGGGAAACTAAGACAAGAAGCAGAGAAATGATTATAAAAACTTTATCAACGCCTACAACAGAAAAGTTAACGTTCAGAATCGGTTCGTGACTCATACTATCCCACTGCCAAGTTCTTTAAAGGCAAGTCTCCCCCAAGGAGCAAATACATCCTAGTTTGTATTCTCTTTACAAACCAACCACTAGAGAACCAAACTGAACGTCCAGCAAGCCTGCTTCTCCCCAAGAGATGGCAGTAGCGAACAAACATCCACACAGAGCTCGGGGAGCGAGGCTGTAACACGGAGGAAACACGGCCGACGAGTAAGAGGGCCCTCTCCAGCAGCGCCAAAACACTACAGACGCGGGACTCTCACCGACTTGTCAGTAGCTCACAATACACCTTGATAAGAAAACTTTCATTTTACAAAACAAGATTCACAAGAGTTTGAACTGGGAGGTAGAAGCTCCAGATCCTTAAAAATTACACATTGGAAAAAAAAAAAATAAAATCCCAAATTAATCTCAAAGATTTTTCAGTGGCCCACCACTAGAATGTTATGTCCCATAAATTTTGCATAAAGAATTCTTCACTGTGCTAGAAAAGCAACAACTACCAGATTTTTAGACATTCTTCCATATGAACCATGGTGACTTGGAAAATTTTGGAGAAGTGGAAAGAAATGCTTTAATTACCTACATTCTTGAACAAAAACCAGGAATAAAAATGGCAGCTTCTCCCAGTACTTCTAAGGCATTGGTCTTCCCCAACCTCTACTGCAAATAAAAGACCAGCATGCTGACAGTATTCTGTGAAAGCATACTGTATCATCCACTGGAGCAGATGTCTGCAAATGCCAGACTGCGCAGTGCAAAAGTCAGCACATCTCATAAATCAGCAACAAACCTGTACACTTCTCACTACAGCCCTCTGTGAACCACTCAGAAAGTTATCCATGTATTGTAGTCACACTGGTCTCGTACATGTGCCACAGAATTACATTTTACCACTCAGTTCCCACTAGAGCAAAGGGGAACATCAAGATGCAGGCAGCGATGCGTAAGTCCTTCTCTTTCCAAAGGTTTTCAGTACCAGACAATACTGGTCAAGTACTGGGACGTGCATGCGGCCCCAAGTGCACTCCTTCATCGCAAGGCATTCCCACCTTTGACAACTCACAGCCCAACCAGCATTCACGGAGGAACAGGATGGTTTGGTTTGTAAAGAGACTTTGAACATCACCTAGTCCCAATCCCCCTCTTCCCCCCCGCCGGCAAAACCACTCTCGCTTTTGAGGAAGTACAACAGAACTACGTCGCCCGTTAAGGCAAGAAGAGGCACAGCTGCAGCAAGGCGTGAAACACCAAGGGACGACCCCACAAGAGCGACAGCGGCAGCTCCGGGAGGCCCGATATGCAGTCCGCAGGATGAGCAACGCAGCGCAGCACCGATTACAGCAGGAGGCCCGACAATCCGCCTCGTACCCTTACCGCCAACCTCGCACCGAGCCCACCGACTCCGGCGCGGGCCCCGCCCTCCCGTGCCCCACCCCTCAAGGCAGCCCCCAGGCCGCGCTAGCGCCAATACGCATGCGCGGACCCTCTCACCCGCGCCCACCATGGCGTGGGGTGTCGCGGTCGGGCCGGGTGCGGGGTGTAGCTCCCCTTCCAGTCAGGGGGCAGAACCCCGCCGCCGCGGCGGAGCCGGTGGGCGGCCTGAGAACCCCGCGCCGAGCGCAGCCGCACGGCCCCGGTCCCAGCCCCCCCCCAGCGGCTTACCGCGCGGCCCAGCTCGCACCGCCGGGTTGTGATTTTCGCGCGCTCTGCCCCGCGCCAGCGCGAGGTGCGCCTGCGCTTGGGGCGTACCCCGCCGCCAGCCGGGCGGGGGCGGGCCGGGCCGGGCCGCAGAGCGCGGGAGCTGCGGTGGCAGCCGTGAGAGCCGGGTGGGCGGCTCGGTTGTCCCCGCACGCTGCTGCTTCCCGTCCCAGACACGGGGCTCCGGGAAGCGGGAACGGAAACCTCGCCGGGCTTCACGGCTGGTGTGCTCAGAGGGCCCCTGATGGCTGGGGGCGCAGATGCCTGTGTTTCTTGACTAGGTTAAACAGAGCGAGGTGGTTAAATCCGGTTTGGGTCCTGAGTGACCAGCTGAGGTGACGACTCCACGGGGAAATCAAAATGTGAGAGGGGTGTTTTCCCTCGGTGAGTGTTGTGGTGGGCCGACTGAAGGTACCTGCCCCCCACCATGGGTAAGATCGATTGGTTTTTTTCCCCTCTGGTAAGACTTAAGTGCAAAACCTGTTAAACTTCTGCTTAAGTTTTGTCAACTTCAACAGACCTTTACACCCACGTGAAATAAAAAAAACGGTACAGGCGATAAGAAACTTTGAATAAACTTACAGTTTTAAAAAATACCTGATTTCTCTAACCGAAAACTTTACTGGTGCTAAAACAAGAAATACACACATGGTGCACCTTAACTAGCGCTGCATTTGTTAAAAAGCATCAGTGGTAAAATTACCAAGATCTGTATTCTGTCACTTAGCCAAGTTACGCTGGTCCTGAAGAAAATCTAACGGAAAATACTAACATACACACTGGCTACTTCATGCAGTTCTGCTCATTAGTACCTAGCCCACTTACATGATCATTCATTACCTTCCTGTCATGCTTCCTCTTCCACTCACCTTCTTCAGCTGCTATTCACCATAGCGGTTTTTCCACCCCGGGCTGGTTTTACCTCCACATTCTCTACTTGCCATGAAGAGCTGGTGATAAAACTGCTGCAGTATTTCCACCTGTCTTTTGAGAAGCCAGCAGCTCTTAAAATTACTTTCTTTCCTGGCATCTTCTTCCCACATGCGTATGCTTACACCACTCTGCCCTTATTTCCTCCTTGAGTCTGGATAGTGAGGCACTTGTTGACATTCTACCTGAAGAGAAACAAAGTAAATTATTTGAAAGAATAAAGCCTATGAAAGAAAATGCTATCTTGAACTTGGGTCGAAATTTATCTTTTCAGGTGGATCTTAAACTAAGTCCCACTGATTTCATTAGTCTATCATTAGTGAATTTACAGGCTAGTTTGTATTACATTTGTGTTCAAGATTTGTATTCTTCATGAGCATAGGACTACCACCACTATTGCTAAAGCTGAAGTTGCTGGGTTTCCCTTTATGATTTACCCAGTACAGCTGCTGTCCAAACTGCTTACTCTCATTGAGCTTTCGTATTCTTCTGTTCATGTTTTGTGAATTGTTGCCTTTTCTAATAACCACTGTGTTCAATTTTCTCTAAAATGAGACAAAATCCCCTTCAGTACAAAAGCAGATTCAACCTACACACACAGTGAAATCCCCATGCATAAATGCTTAACATTTGGGGTTTGGTGCAGCTGGTATTTTTTTCATTTCATCCTATCAGATCATCAGCACCTGGTGAACTAAAAGCTTGTCTGTGGAAGTTTCAAAGCACTTTCTTGGGAAACAGCAATTGCTCATTAGGCAACTCATCAAGACAAACTGGCAGGGATGTTTCCCACGCATCCAGGACATCTGCAGAGCACAGCTCAGAGCTTTGGGTGTAAGGTCCTTATTTGCACTGTGAGTCCAGTTCATAACTCATGCAAGTCTTTAATCGTTCTACTCCTTCTCTTGTCAAATGAAAACTTGGGAGGATTTATATTTGTTTTCTACCATCAGTTGAGTTAACACTTCCTTAGATGTCAGCATTATTAAGTATTTCATTGCTGAAATGTGTAACTGTTCTGGTACAGTGGAATAAGCTTGAATGGAAGAAGTTTGATAACATGTTTCTGCCTGAACATATTCCATTGTTGTCCAATATCTATTTGTATCTCATAGTCACACAGTAGCAAAGAGCTGCATTTGTTAATCGGCTTGATGATTATACCAGTTTTCTTTTTCCTATGCAAGAAGCCATTTCCCAGTTCTCATGCACACTCAGATATATTGCCAAAGATCATTGTAATGTACCAGAAGCTGTGAAAAATAAACCCAGGAATTAAATTCAACAACAACACACACACACACACACACACAAAAAGACATTTAGGAAAGTAATGAGAAAGGGTATAGTAGGCAGTTGTCTAAAAATAGGAATAAATATAATGCAAAGATGAAAGCAAATTATTAATATGCGTAAGCTCCAGTAGGTGGAATGAACACTTGCTAGAATTACCTTCAAATGACCCTCATTTTAAATATTCACAAAAGAAGTGGCAATGATATGAATAATGAATTAGGTAGTACAAATTAAGTGAATGCCAATACAAATCATAGACTTTATGTTACTTCAGACATTATGTATGCAGTCTGTCACTTTCCTACATTTAATAAACACAGAACATTTGAGTGTTAAAAAAATGTTACTGGGACTATTTTTTGTAGCCTTGATCTTTAATGGAAGGTACGATTACATGTAGAGCTAATCCAGCTGCCTAGTCTGAGAGAATTACTCCTGTAGATAAGAATGCCGTAACTTCAAAACCTGAATATTTAAGAAAAGATCTTCCAAATACTGAAGAATTGCTGGCTCCTCCCTGAGAAACCTAGCAATCTCATTTTACCTAGTGTGTGCTGCAAAAGCCCTTGTTAAGCTTTGCACTTTGATGAGACACAGCAGATACAACACTTTGGTTCAGGTCAGAATATCACCATTTTGTCTTTTGGCCAGTATTAACTTGGTAGGAAAAAAATCCCTCATTGGGGGAAAAAGAAGGAAATGTATCTTTGACAGGTTGGGGGGGTGGGAAGTCCCAGCTGTTTGAAGCTGTTCAGAGGTTTGGAATGTTAGAATAAATACTGGAGGAGCTAGATTGATGGGCTAAACTGCAGGTGAGGCACACAAAGGTGCATGCTAAATATAATTTATCAGTGCACATGACCACCACATATGTAGTAAATTTTATGCACATTATAGCGATTAGCTAAAAAGCTCATGCTGCTTTAAGCAGCACTGCTTTAAGGAGATTCTGCTTAAACAAACAAATGCACAGTACGAAGCAAAATGCCCTCAGACCCATAAGCTGAAGTAAACAGGATATGCACCTTCATATAGGTCGATGGCTAGTTTGAAATGTTTGGCTAGTTTGAAATGTTTGCTACAGCACAACAAAGAGGTAATGTAGCTATTGTGTACATATTGTTGTCATTCATGGATGAAGTTGGAAATGCCCAAGTACTGGAGTGGCAAGCAAAGCAGTAGTAATAATCAAGAGGTTTCCTGTCCTTCCAGAGAAAACTACAGTGTATAACAAGTCACCAATACATTTCAGTTTACTGCTGTGCCTTAGCCATATTAGAGGATTTCTGAATAGGCAGAAGTGTCACTTGAAGGTGCTGATTATATCTTCAGAAATTCTCCACTAAATACTGCATTTTGGGTGGCAGCGTAATACCTAGGCATACTAACATCCTGGAGTTCCAGATGTTCGTTCTCTCCCATATCTTCCATTCAATTTCCAGCATAATTTCATGTTCCAGCATTGCCTATGTTTTCTGTACTGTTCTATGAAAGAAACAATGTACTGTCTTCAGTAAGGAGAAAGGGAGTTGCTTCTTGCAGGCATGAGGGTCTGCAGATCTGGTTGGTGTTTTTTGTAAACAGTGTGTGTCACAGAGTCTTTATGTTGACACTGGCATATTTTTTCCTCTCATTTTGGTTGCTGATTCTTTTGTCGTTCCTTTTGAGTTGAAATCCTGGAGAGATTTTTTTGCTTCCAAGAAGAGCAGGAACATTTGCTATGTCCTGTGTCCCAAGTGACAGATGAGCATGTCTGATTTCTTATTAATGCAAATACTATCAGGTCTGTAGCTGGGAAGCTTCTGCAGGGTTCTGAAAAATTGGCACTCAATAGGCCAATGGTACTTAATGTTCCTTAAACCAGACCTTAGGAGTTCTCCTAGTATCTATTAAAGCTTTGCCCTTAGTATTTCTCAGTCTTGTATAAACCTTATCTTCACAAGGATAAAATTGGGAAATTACACCATATATCAACCAATTAGCTAATCTTGACAGAAGACGTAAGATTTTCATGATCTGTCTTACTGCATATCTTTCCAATATGTTCATTATTAGAGAAGCTGAAGTATTTAGCTTAGCCATTGATTATGTTTCTGTCTGCAGTTTATAAACTTCCTCCTGTACCTGCCTGCACTCTAAGCAGGTGTTACAGAAAAAACATGAGTGAAGTCAGTGATTCCCAAAACACTGAGACAGCAAAGATAAGAGAATCTTCCATGATGTCCTGCTGCTGTGGAGTGGTGACTGAACATTTGATAAATACTGGAGAGCATTTCCAAGGCTTGGTCTGCAGGAACTAAGCACAGTGAATGGGAACAGAGAGCTTACTCATTCCTATGGTATTCCCTGTTGATACTCCAAAAAGCTTCTA